CCCAAAGGGTAGTTGACGGGAAAGGGGGGGGGGGGGGGAGGGACAGTTGTGTTTTCTTCCCCAGATGTGCCCACAATCAATAATAATGCCTCGGGAAAAAAAAATAAATAACAGTACAGTATCTAAATGAAGTTACAGTTATCTGACCACAGTTAACCAAACGCAGAGCCCCTGCCAGGCAAAGACTGTGGGACCATTCTCTTCGGGGCAGATAAAGCGCACAATGAGGTTTTGTCCAGCCCCACAAACCAATTCAGAAGGGCAGATTCTCTTATATATATAAATATATTTTTCTCGCTCACACAGCTGTGCAGTGACCAATTCTTCTCTGGGGAGGGGAGTGGGGAGGGGAGGGGGGCCGAGGTTTGGGGATAGTAATAGGTCTATTATTTCAGGGATGGAGAGAAAGAGCTCAACAGCCCTTTTTTCTCCTCTCTCTCCCTCTCTCTTTCCATTAAGACAATTGTTATTCTCTGTTACCCCACGCCCCTTGTTCCTGTGCACACACTCACCTCCCCCATCTTCAGGCACAAGCTGCGTGGGAAGGAAGCAAAAATTTATTTTCGCCATAAAGCCCGAGCGCTAGCCCAGGCCTAAATCCAGTCGGTACCAGGTTAGATGTTAGGCCGTGTTAGATTAGACCCCAGAACTAAATGCTCCCACTAAGGATTCAAGCCCGGACCCTCAGTCCTCCGTCCTCGCGGCAGCAGGTTATCTCTGCTCAGCAAGAGCCTCCTGCGTGAAGATGGCAGGAATAGACCTCCCAGCGAGCACACAGCCCTGTACGCCCAAGTCTCACTTGAGAACACAGCAGAAGACGTTCACAGGCACGTATAGGACCTGAGCATCTAGCTCAGTGCTACCGGTGCATGGGAAAGCCTGCCCTGTTGAGTCTCTGCTCGCTCCTGGCCAGGTCTCCCTTGCATGAACCTCCCTTCCGTGCTCCCCAATGGTCCGCTGCAACATCGCCCACCCCTAAATCTTATTCTTGTGCCATCAGGCCTACAGTACATCACCTACACGTCTCTCAGAGACAGCTAATGCATTATAGGAGTGGCAGGAGGGAGCTGGAGCTTCAGCTGCTTAGGCACAATAAAATAACAAGGGAAGGCCAAGGCTATTCTGGGTCACTTCACCGGTGACTGTCAAAGCCAGCAAGAGAACCTGGAAACAGGCCAAGCTGGCAGAAGAACAAGTTCCTGCCTGTTATGGCATTGGACCCTAAAGCTGGGTCCAAAGATGATCAAAAGATTTGAAAGGCAAATGACCCTGAGACCGATCTGCCGCGGGTTTGTAACCCTCTGGATCGACCGCGTCAGTCTTTGCCTGGGATTCCCCACCCCCAAGGTGCAAACTCCTGTGCAGCAACTCATTTAAAATAAAACTGCGACACCCCTCTCCTCTCCTTAGCAGCAATGTGACTGTCCCCGCAGCATGCCCGTCCCATAACGTGGCGCAGACTAGCCAGCCCTCCTGGCCCAAGTGCCACGCACCCCACTAACGAGACATGAAAAGCCCTTTTGAGAGCAACCCACTAACGACGCAAACCATAGCAGAGTGGCTGCCACCCCCAGCAAACCATCCTGCTGATAAATGCTCTAAGTACATACTGTGGGGGAGCAGGATAAGCAAAACACTCGTTTCTATTGTCTGTGGTACGAAGTTATCGTAAGAACAAGCAGGCCAATGGCCCCCAAATAATTTCTGAAATAAGTTGGTGCCTTTGGGCAACAGCATTAAGCTAGCCAGGTATTTGTACCCAGCGCATGGCCACAGCATCCCAGCAGCCAGCAGGTAGGGTCAGCACAGTCTCACCTGTGTAGCACAGTATTGTGTACTACATTGCCACAAGAGTAAGATCCACCAGCGATTAAGAGATCTCACTCCCACTTTGCACTGGGAAGGCAGATGTTAGAGTGGCTGCACTTGTCCCAGTCCAAGCAGGCAGCCTGTGAAACACAAGCTGTGTCTCCTGATCCCAAGCTACTTGGACCTAACTGCCTCCCTAGGGCTGGTTCACCCATCTTTGCTCCTTCCCTGGTGTCTGAATCAAGCAAGGTATTGACGGTCTCTGTCCTTCTCACCTTATTTTTCTTCATGCATATTTGCCTCTCGGTACTGCTCAGTGCTCTGTCTCAAGGAGTGCCGCTGTCTCCCTTCCTGGACCTAATTAAAGGGAAAAGACAGGTCGGACACGCACGCCTGATGGCACTGAGGTACACCCCCAACCTCATCCCTGCCCAAAAGGGGAAAGAGCAGCTGGTCCCTTACTGCAACGAGCTCAGAATCCAGCATTTCTGGTACTGTACTGGTGTACTGGTGTAAATCCCAAGACATACTAGAGAGATTTGAACCCAGAAAAGTCAAAAGGTATTGCTTTGATCTACTATCGCTGCGCAGAAGGCAGCGCCAGGGGATAGAAATCCAGTCCCCGTCGCAGCGTGCCGTTTGTCTGCTGTCTCCCCTCTGCCGCTCTTCCTCCCTGCCAGTCCACGTCCTCCCCGTCCCCCGTGTCTCTCCCCCTCAGATACACACACACTCCCTTCCTCATTTCCCCCGGGTCATGCTCTTTGTAAACACTGCTCTCCCTATCCCGTGTGGTTGGTCGGGAGCGGGAGCCAAGAAGGGGGTGGAGGGATATTACTCATGGAAGGTGTGGCTGTTGCTCCCTCCAGCGCTAAATTTCAAAGTCCAGCTTAAAACAAAAAAATAATTCAGCAGTCCCCCTCACCCCGTCCCTCCCCACACCTCGACCCCCCGTCAGGCTTCTCGGGCACAGCTAGAAGGCTTTTTACTCTCTTTTTATCTTCCCTCCTCAGCACCGAGCAAGGACAGACACCTCAGTCCCTGTGCGGGGGCCGCAGGCATTAGGCTGGTGGGCATGTGCCCTAAGGGCCATGGAACCACTGATCCAGCTAACGTGAGGTTCAGCGGAGCCGGGCACTTGGGTCAAGAGATGTAAGATTGCTCCTGATGCGACTGTGCCATCAGATGCCAAACAAGCTGCTGCTTAGCTGTTGGAGATGCTGGAATACTTGGTGTATCATACTGATGGTTTATGCGTTACACACTCAGAGTGTGCATATATCCATTTGTTTAGTGTATTAAGGCTATTTCAGTTTTGATTCTGATCTAAAGACCACTCAAGTTACTAGAAATGTTGTTGAATTTCACTACAGTAAAAATCAAGGGGCAACTGGGCTGTGTCCCTGTCAAAAGTGGTTGTACACCAGCAGTCTTCCTTAGTCCCTGGATTTTGTCTGGTATCCTTTGGGAAGCAGGCGTACAAAAATCACACCGTGTGTGCAGCTGTACCTCCCCAAACTTCAGACTGCGCTGATCAGCCCCATCAGCATTTAAGAGAGGGACACTTGGGCAATATTGTATACGTTTTGCACTGCGTTAAATAGGACGTATTTGTAAATAGAATGTGGACCACGTGAACTGGATTTAGGTGGCCTCCTTAACTATCCAGAGTTTTTTTAATAATGTCAGCCAGGACAGGGTAGTGGCTACATCCTAAAAATACGCATTATCTTAGACAAGACAACCCATCTGACTGATTTTATCTGCTGACGGAGTCTCCATGCATTCATGGTAATAAGTAGAACAACCATAAGGACTTGCAAGCAAGCCCCAGCAGTACTCCTCCGCCAGGATACAGTACATTGGTATGTAATGCATGAAAATGTTTGGGTAGGTTTTGGGGTTTTTCTTCCTTAAAACATGCCTACAGGCAAGCAGAAGCAAATAAGAAACTTGTAAACAAAATAAATGCTCTGAATTTAGTCACATTTTACATGGTTAAAAATGAAGCTAAGACAACAAACATAGCCCCTAGAATTTTTCACAGGTTGCTGTAGTTACTGGGTTTAAAAAGCAGAGAAACCGTAACATGGCCAATCTACTGTCACCCTGGAAGGCTGCAGAGAAGGGCTGTAGAAAGAAGGTACTATTGGGGCAAATAATAGTAATTACTGTCTCCAGCACAGAACTTTGCTCTTCACAGATGCTAGAAGGGTTAAAAGAGTTGCCATTCAGGAGCGCGTTGCAGCAGTTCCCTTCCTCAGCTCCCACTGCCCCCCTCCTCGAGCTGGAAAGTCTCTGCCGTCACCCGGGCTGATGGCCACTCTGGTACGTTGGCACGCTGCAGTAAGGGTCTTTGGACTTTTCCGCAGGGTTAGTGCGAGTGTAACCTGGCAGTCACCCTCACTGACACTGTCCTAGCTACCTGATGCGGGGCAGTGTGTGAGCTTGCGTAGGTGGCAGGGAAAACAACCCATCCATTATAGGAGCTGCCAAGGCTCCTATACATGTTACATGGACTAGCACTAGGGTCACTGGGCGGTTGAGAAAGAGTCTGCTGTGTGAAGACTTTATTTGGGGATGGGTCCATGTAACCTCATCTGTGCACTACAGCGTTTATACCTGTTCAGGGCTCAAGTCAGCTCAGCCTCAGGGACTGCGCAGAACTTTTATTTCCCATGGTTATTTGGCTGCAGAGGAGGACAGAGAAACTTCTCTCCTTGACCCCACCTGACTTCCCTGGGGAAGAGCAGTTGCTCTTATCTGGTGTGACAATGCTTCTTTGAGCCAGCCAGTGAATTCAGCATGATCAGAGAGAGATCAAAAACCTTCAAGTGAAGACTACGGCTTTGATGAGTAACTCCATGGGAATGCAGTCAATGATGGGAGCCAGCAAGCTGGCAACGAAGCTGCCTCTCACACAACGCTGAGCTTGTGCAAATCTATACTCTCCTGTGGTCATCTCTCTACAGGCTTCCACCTCCTGCTCACCACCTCCCAGAACCCCGCTGCCAAACAGGACACCCCTCTTCTATACTAACCAAGGCCACCAGAAAAGCAGATCCCCTTTACTGCCAAGCAGCAGGAGCAACATAGAAGCCACCACTACTCGTGGACAGCTATGGTCGTGATGCAGCTGGGCTGAGGTATGGAGAGGAATCTCT